ATGAAAAGTTCAGCAGGTTTCATGAACAAATCATGTGTTTGGTGGCCAGCCATGAAATATATCGATGCAAAATACGATATGTGCAAAGATTATAACATTAGCAGCCTTACTTTAAATAACAAAATCATGGAAATTCAGAATTAAGAGATATTCTGTCCTTAAGCTGCTCTCTGGCGCTACAATGTTAAAGCAGTCTTTGATAAACCAGGCTGTCCTCTCCTGCATGAATCGCCACGCAATGCCCTTTGCTACTTGCAAATCTCTACAAAGGTAATTCCTCATGACTGGAACTGCCTCACTGGAAGAAGGGGTTTTCAGTCGCCAATCCCTAAGGCATCCCTTGTGGACCTACAGAAAGTCAAAGCCATCTATGTGGAAGCCCTTCTGCTCGCAAAGGGCACTGCACACACTGAAACTGCCACGGCAGTGCCTGGTGTCAGTATCCAACTAGCTTCTGGGGAACCTAGTAGTGTAAGAAACAGCTTCTCTCTTCAGGAGACTTGAGGATTCTTGGGTCTAATTTACTCAAAGATTTATACTGAATAGGGTTCAAATAGCAGGGAGCATGTTTTCTTGCCTTTTCCACATGACCGGTCTCATCTGGGCAAAAAAAGACCCATAGTCTTTCTTACTCAACCTAAAGGGAGCAGCACGAGACACCTGTAGTAAGTGTGTGTGCTGGTGCTGAAGCCGATGGCCTCTGAGCATGTGCTGTCTTCCACAGGATGTTCTTATCCACACGGGAATGATAAGGCCGAGATTTATCCCAAGAAGGACAGCTAGTCAAAACCGATAGATTTTCTCTAACTGATTGAGGAGGTGTGTAAATATTATTGTATTTAGACTTTCTTATAATGACAATTAAAAAGGCACAGAGTATAGGGAATATAGGATTTCTCAGACTTATGTTTTAGGATACCATTGGTTTTTGCAAGAAAAATGGTGATTTACAGCAAAGATGCTCTCCATAAGCCTGTCAAAATGATTCATCGGAAGTCTTGCCTCTAAAGCTCTGCAAACTTAGCAGCTCATCCTGGCAAACTGAACACGGCAAGTATTTTACACCTTTCTCCTTTTCCCAGGAATCTCAGTGCGATTCTGTGCTATAATTACGCTGATCAGCAAAAATCTGATAGGAAGAAAGTAAAAGAGCAGGAAAACCCGTCACCAGCTGTGCTAGTCCTTGCGTCCCTAATCTCTGCCGCGGGGTAGGTTACGCCAGGGCTAGGCAGACTGAGTGCCACCTTTATGAGAAACACCTCTCAAAAAGAGCAAGGATTTCAAAGGCCTTGGGTACCTCAAAGACCCTCGGGCTCTGCGTCTGTGTCAGGGTGGGTCGGTTTCAGCCTTAATTGATTCTGAGGCGTCAGCCCAATCAGAAATGCGACAGATTTATGCTGCAGACTTAAAATAGGCCTCTTGATTGTCTCAGTTTCAATAGTTATCTGATTTTCTCTTCCCCCTTCACAATCCTCTTCCCCTTCTATAACTCAAAGAAACCTGAGGCTTGGCTGCCTGCAGCTTTCTGCTTGTCTCGGGCATGCTCTGTCGCACAGCAAGATTGTGACTCGGCAGCTCCAAGAGTCTCCTTTCCTGTTGCAGTCTGGCCCATATTCATCCTGCCTAACCCTTGGGCACTTCACAGGGGTGCCCAAGCTAGGAGTGCAGGCTTCTTGAGCTCCTCCTAGCATCAGTGAGAGGATGGGCATTTTTAGAAGACGATTCAGATTCTGGGTGGATGAATCGTCTTCTGTAGGTGTCCTGTATTTCTCCATCAGCCATACAAGGTACCTAAAGCCAGATGAGCTGAATGACCACGCAGGACATCACAGTTTGCTCCCTCCTTTAAGAAAACCACAACGTAGCACAGAAGCCGCTGGTTGCTGTAGGAGAAAAGAGTTCTTGCCTCAGCAAAAAGGTGGGAGGGGAGAAGGAGGAGTGAGTCCTTCACTTCGACGCTGACAGTATTTCCCTCAGCAAAGTGACAGGGGGGAAGGCAGACAATGCAATCTGGAGGGTTTGGTGGTTTGTTTTTTTTTTTTATAACTGGCTCTCCTACACTCCTCCAGTCTGCCACCTGCTTGTGTGTAGACCCAGCACACGAAGCACCCACTCCGGAGGATCCTGGCAACAGGACTGAAGGATATCTGCTGCTGAAGAGTAGGTGAGCCTCCCTTCTGCAGGGAAGCTGGACAAATCCCTGTTCAGAAGGGAACTGCAGCAGGCAGACCCCTTTCAGGCAGACCGGACTCCTTACTATTTCTTGGTATGACTGATGGTGCTAAAAATTGTGTTTGTAAACTGGAACAGAAAGCCCAACAGCAGGAAAACAAACACAAACTCATACTTAATTGAAACCTCACAATATTCTTCAATGTTCTGGTGCCAGTCTAACAAAGCATTAAGAGTGTGAATAAGCCAAATATATACAGTGGCTCTGGGCTGGTCTGTAACACACTTAAAATAAAACATATGATGAAAAGAGCTTGGCTGAATGAGGGCTACAATGCTCTGTACTCGGCAGAATCCCACTGAGAGTGTCAAGTGGGCAAAACAATAATATTTTGACGTGGATAGAGAAAGGAAGAAACAGAGAGGAAAAGAGAATCAACAAGAGAGCGAGAGAGAAAACACTAGCAGTTTTAGAGCAGGCAGAAATCTGAGGCTAAATTAGAGTGTGCCCTTGAGATGATCTGCATTGGAGTCTCAATCTTTGTATTTTGACACTGTTAGGAAAACTGTAAAGCAGAGCACTATAAACAGCCATTTGGGGAGTTAAGCAAGCATTTTCAAGAATAGGCTGAGTCTAATATCTGGTCCACTCTGCAAAGCTTCATCATCAATACTATCCAGTCCAGCACGGAGTGGTTGTGCAGGAACACTTGTCATCCATGCAACACACTGAACTGACAGAAACCGTCCATGTGGAACCAAGGACAGAACTTGTCCTGAGATGACCAGCTTTGTCTTTCCACATTGGCACTCTTCTTTAGCTCATGAGATCCTACATCCCAACAAAATAAGCAATCCAGAGAAAAAGACCAGGACAGAACTCATTTCTTGCTTTCACGGGGATGCTGGGTGAGTGTCACGTGGTGGTTCCTAACTACTTTCTTCTGGCTGATGCTTAGAGTGCTGCTGGTGTGCTCTGCAGGAAGTTGTGTCCAGCCCTTCTTAACCAACTGAAGGAAGTTAAAAAAGAGAAGAGAGACATAGAGAGGAAGATCCTAAAGGAGTACTTTAAAGAAAAAAAGATGTGTTTTGGCATTGCAGAGTTTTAAGTTAACTATTTGCAAGCCACCCACAATAAACCAGATGTCACTTCTTTCATTCTCAGTGCTCTTTCAAGCTGATGTCCTACCTGAAAGGACTTGAAAATTCAGCAGCAATCTAACACGATGCTTTTCCTGCTAGGCAACATACTGCAAATTCCCAGGAAACATAAAATAAACAGAAAAAGCACAAGTATATGGATTTTCTAATGGATTATACAATGCAAAATATTACAAAATTTTTTCCTGTTTATTTTATGTTGTGCATATCTTTCTTTTTACTCAAAGCAAGCAGTGAATTAGAATACTCAGTATTGTGATACTCACTAAGTCTCCTGCCATTCTCTTCAAAATTACTAAACAGAGCAAATGGTCACATATGCCCATAACCATGCATTCGATGCTGCGACTTGCAGCTCTGGTTAAGATAGGACGTGGAGCTTTGCAGCTCCAGACAAGTCAGCAGGGTCAGTTAAAAGGCACTGGAGCTACCAGGGCTGTTACCGGGGAGCAGATTTGACATCCCAAAACGTGAGAACAGCCTTCAGTATCTTGGGACACTGGGAACAGAGGAATGTCTTCTAGTCTCCAACACTATTTTTTTACACATATTCCCTCTTCCTTCACTGGGAGAGATGTTAGTTCTCCCTGTCACTCTTGCAGAACAGAGGGAGAACACGTGAAAGAGAGTAGCAACATCTCTTACTTATCTCCGTCAGCAATACTGCCAATGACTAAAATACAAGAGGGTTTGTTTTCTAAGAGCACGTCTCTGTTTGGGCTATGGAGAGCACTCATGAAATCAAGAACAAACAGGTCTTTATTTCTAGGAGCGTTTATCTTTACCCGGAGAGACAATTCTTGAATTTGGTGCTACCTAAGAGGCTGTACAGTATCAAAACAAGCTATGACTATTACAGAACACCGCCTTCTTGTCTTTTTCTTTCTTTGGTTGAATATCAACTCATGAAAAGTTGACTAATGCAAAATAAGAACTGGAGGAATTTGCGTAATAATGAAGAAAATTTTGCTCAAGCCAGCGTTTCGGTTTTGCAGTGTTGCTAATAAAAGCAAACAACTCGATTCACAAACCAGAGCTTTCTTGCTTCTTCCTATCTTGCAACCCAATGACATGGATATCCATCTGGGACATGGGAGATTCACGGTCAGATTCTCTTCCTGTTGGAATCAGACCAGAGACTGGGCCTTGGGTGTCCCTCTGAGCACCAGCTTGTCCCCAGATCATCCTACACAACAGCCCTTCTGCAGCCTGCGAAAGATGTCAAATGGCCTCAAGACAAAAGACAGTGACGCTCAATTGTCGGATATCCTATGTTCCTGGCAAAGGTCACTCTCCCCTGCTCTGACTCACAGCAAGGGCTTGAACCAGGTTTTGCTAGCTACCCATTGCCTCCAACAGTCCACTACAGGAGAGAAGAGTATTTTCTCCAGGGATAAAGAATGGCACCTAAAACACCCACTTAGATCTAAGCCAAGCCTCAAAACAATGCTTAAAAATGTTCAATGGATTTCAGATTTCCAAAATTTATCTTTATTATTTCTTCTCTTTTCACGGGAGTAGCTGAAAACCAGCACATGGCTTGTCATACTCCAGCTGCGGGCAGAAGACAAGAAGCCATTTCTCACGGGATGCCCTTCCAGAGGCATATCTCAAGGCTTTCCTGAACATAAAATTTCAATATACTATCACTGAAAAAGTCTCAAAAGAACCCTGCCCACCAGCATTCTGTGCTGTAGTGCTCTCTTAGTCCTAAATACCTGATTTCCTCTTCCAGTTTTTTTTTTAATATCACTTATCATTATACAATACCATCCATTTTCAGGGGACCAAATTTCTGTCTGAGTCCCTAACTTGGCTAGCTGCCCTTGGAGATCTGAAACCTGTGAATACAAATCACTCCAAAGAGGAGCTTTGGTCTAATCTATATCGCATGAAAGCATACTCTGTCCTTAAGAGCAAATCAGCAGAGATATACTGGCCTCATGAAATAAAACAATAAGCACAAAATTACATTAATTTAAAGCATCATCTCATACAAGTGAGAAAATCAAGAAAAGCTTGACAAATACAGAAAGAAATAAAGCTTTTATGGACAGAAATGCTCTCCTTTTAAAGGCAGCAGTTACTTCCATCTGTTTAGAAATTTTTGGAAGACCAGCACAATATAGCCAACTCCTGAAAGTGTTATTATCAAGGAAAGGAAGAAATGTGGGGCATTATCAATTAAAAGCTATTTTGACTAAATATCTTAGGCTTTGACTCTTTATGTAAGGGCAAGCAAACAGCATCTAACTGAATAAAGAATTATCATGCTAAAACAGGGCATGGGTTTGTAAGGAGAATAACTTTTCTTCCTATGCAATAGATTTTTCTACATTCACTTCGACAGCTTGCTGAGGATCCTGTTCATCGACCTACATCCTCTCAGTTGTCAGGAAGATCAAGAACAAGCTATCTGTGTCCATCTAAAAAAAGACATATCCAATATATAGTAAATAATCTAAATCAGTGATATGTGCTGTATATATATATATCTGTGAGCATATAAGCCTATATGTAAATATATATGGAGAGAGACAGCATCTGTCCTTGATTTATAGATATCTAAATGCATACACATACATATGTACATTATATATGTATATAAGTATGTATATACACACACATATATATGTATTTATAATACATATATGTAAGTATGCATGAACACATGTCAGTGGATGTTTATATATAGGAATGAAAAAATAAGTTGGGAATGTTCTTTCTCACTTTAACGTATCACTCATTTTGAAAAATTTTCATACAGAACAAAGCAACTCCAATGAGTTATTCTGGAGTTAAGCATTTTATCAAGGAAACTAGAATCTGGACCTTAAAGTACCCTTTCCAAGTGCAGAAGAAATGAACAGAAATTCATCAAAAAACCTGAAAATACTTTTCTTGAGAAAACACAGAGTTACATGTATACACTAACCCATCACCAAAATGCAGGAAGGAAGCATAGCACGCAAACCCTGAAGCCAAAATCTTGGGCCCACAAATGTCAGCAAGAATTGCCCAATTTTAGTTTTTATATTTGCTATTGAGCGTTTTATCTCAGTGTTTCCCTAGCATCATCTCATCCCGGGTAAAATGAAGACTGCAGCTGATATTGTTGAGGCCACCACCTGCAAACTGGTGGATGCCTGAAATGCAGAAGGAAATCAATATCCATCCCAGTGGAGTTTATAGCATCCCTGGGAAGATCCCGCTGAAGCCCTGTCTCACACTGACAGCACAGTTGCACCTGTACACTACCAGCTTTTCGGAAATGAGCGTGGGGCTCTCTGTGGAGATGACTGCTGCTCTGACTTCTGCTGTGTGGCTGTCAGACTCCCAACCCTTCCTGCTTCCACCAGCCATGCCTCTTCAATCGCAAGAAGCCCAAGGTATGCAGTTAGTACTTTGAGGGGCTTTGTTGTTTCAGGAACGAGGAAATTACACTTTATAAGGTCATGCTCCCCCGTTTTGTACTTCCTGGCCAGATTTGGCAGATTCTGACCTTAGTTTCCTGCTGTTCGCCCCAGCAAGCAGAAAGGGTGATATGGTCACATGCACACCCAAAAACCTTTGTACAACTGCAGAAAATGATTTTTTTAATACTATTCTCTGATTTTCTCTCTCAGAAAAGCAGTACACGGAATACCTACAGTAGCTTGGCTACCACAAGCAGCCTGCCTGCCCTCACGAAGCACTCCTTCTGGTCTAGCTATCTTGCTCAGAGATGAGCTCTACCAGCTGTATGGCTTCTGGCTCTCAAGCTACCTCGATACTAGCATTCCTACACAGAAGACCTAGCTCTGGTCATTTCATTAGGCTTTTCTCGGAATTCAGCAAGTATTTTGAACATCTTTGTAGGAGCTACACAATTTGCTTGGAAGCAGCTTGCTTTTTAGAAGCTATTCCAAGAAAGCAATGAAACCGTGAAGCGAGAGAGTCAGATTACATTTTAGTAGGGCTATCTTATAGCCTAATGTTAGTCCACAATTTCAGTATGGTCATTCCAATGCTTAAATATCGTACTCACTTTATCCTGAATGTAGCCAAGTTAACTGAAATTGCTTGAATCTACATTAAAGCAAAGCACTGGAGTCTGAAGTTTTCTGTTAATAAAGGAGCACTTACCTGTAATCATAGTTAGAGCTGATAAACTTGCTAAGGCTGGGATATCAAGGTTAAGGCTCTTTAAGTTTAAGGAAAAGTCTTTAATAGAGTTGAGCCACTCCCCAAATCCACGAAGGCACTGAAGTCTATGAAGCACGAGTCCATTGCAGAATACAAACTTGTCCTCAGCAGTATCAGACCTCAAATGAAAATAATTGAAAAAATTTTAAACGCATTTTCTACTTTACAGCAAAATGCATAACCAGTATTGAAGTGTCTGTCATTTAAAATCCCAAGCATATTATCCTGAGACATATGTGGGCATTCACGTTTGACAATATGCTTCTCCCTTGGGGCCACAGTGCAACAAACAAGCTTCTATGATTGCTTACTTGGTAGACTTATAAGCCTGAGGTTAGCTGTAGCATGTGGTGTAGACTGCCTAATTAGTTAAGATTTTGGTCCTGCCCAAAGGCATAAACAGAGAAGACATTTTACATTAAATATTGTATGTTTGAACCAAAGGAATACTAAGTGAGTGCATTTTGAAATACAAAACTAATAAAAACTGGGGAAAGAAGAGATTCTGCAACTCTCAGCATTTCCTTAGTTTCATCTGCATTTTTCAGATTGTAAAAAATGGATAAGGAAAAACCAGTGGAAAATGCATGCAATAATGCACCACAATACATGTAACATCATAAACTCTTTTATATGAAAACCTGTGTGTAAGAGAGATATTACAGCCAAGCTCTCCTCTCCTTCCCCTCCCCATTGCCAATATCCCTGTTAAAAAACGCATGCAAAAGTCATTTTCAACCTAAAGAAACAAGGGCATAATTCAAATCACCAGTTTGGAATATCCCCATCCCTGAAAGTGTTTTTAGTAAAGTGTCTTAACCGGTGCCAGACTGATAAATAGCATCTCACTCTATTAAATGACTTGGTATTAAGAAGAAAAACAATCTGAAAAAGATTTAAAATCTTCTTCGTCCCCAAAAGAGACAACAAAGATGTGCATGTGCAAAAGACGGGGGAAAAGGAAAAAGCTTTCATACTGAAGGTGCTTTTCTACAGTTTACACTGTTGAGTATGAAGCAAACTTGCTCAAACAGTACCTGAGGATCAATTTCCATGACTATGGAAGAAGAGGATGGGGTATATCAAACAAAAAGGAGGACATTAGTGAGACTAATGAGTGACTAGTGAGACTAGTGAGAGTGAGCTCTCTTTTTAAATCACTTTCTTGTTTTTTTCTGCAGCATAAAACAAATCAAACACCATATTCTTTGGATGATGACATTGCTGATGTTTTGTGGGGTTTTGGGTACAACTGACAATATTCAAAGACATCACCATATTTATTCCTTAAAAATATTTAGATGGATGATTTTTCACATCAGCTTAAGAGGAAATGAAATAAATAGTTACCTGATGGAGAGTCTTAGTACAAACAGCTCCAAAAAAGCTGATTCTATGAGTAATGTCTGATCTTCTTTTGGGAGGTCAGTAAATCCTGGGATTTTTTCTGCCCAGCCTCTAGTTATGTCAACGGAGGCAGTCAGAAGATTATAGAACTGTTGTACATGTTCTGCATCTGTGCCTGCAGCAGCCTGATCAGTGGAACAGTACTAAAATGAAAGCCACAGAAAGCAACGTTACACGCATTTAAGGGCATTCTGTGAAACATACGGCATAACTTGCCCGACAACATTTCCTTCTGTGGCAAAGCTGGTATAATTATCAAAGGCATAATAGTAGGTCTACATCCATCTACCTATTTGGCTACCTAGAGGCATTTTGCTATTCAGAGGTATATTGCAAAAATATTTCCACACATGCAGAAACCATTTAAAATTTATAAATAAAATATAATACTTATCACAAGTACCTATGTGCTATTAGTAAACAGAAACAGAAAACTGGTGGGTAGGATAATTTCCGTCACACTAGAAGAGGAATATTATTTAACTTACTACAATTCAATATTTTTCCCATTGATGAATTTGTCTCAGTATGTCCAAAATGCAGATTTCTTCCAAAACCTCTCTAACTGCATTTTATCTGACAGTGATAGAGACATGTACGATAAATCATGTTTTATCTGACACATGCAGCATTGCTTCATTTGAATACAGAATTGGTTCAACGTAAAACAGCTGCCCCATATCACCTCTTATCCTTCAAATAGAAGCATTGAAGGTTCAGGAGAACCCATTATGCTGCTGATGCGGCCATAACTCTTCTCGACAACTGTTAAGACAGGCTCAGCTTGCTCAGCTTCCCTGTGACCCGCTGACAGCTCCCTCCCCGCTGTCTCCTACTTCCTCACCAGTGGATCCCTGTCGCTCCCATGACACTGCTCACTTGCTCTCGGCAGAAAATACAACAGGAGCTTTCGTGGCTTAGCTTGATTCCGTGCTTGGAAAGCGCTGCTGGTTTTCTGAGCAGGAACTGAATAATTTGGGATTTCTTGTAACAACATCCTTGCCATCAGACATCTGGTCAGTTATTTCTGGGAGAGACTTCATAGCCACTCTCTCTCTGGGACTCAGCCAAGGAAAGGTTGGGGTGGTCTCCACGGCCGCAAGAAGTGTGCATGCCCTTTGGAAACAACTTTCCACACGCCGTCAGGGCTTGAATCCCTAGCAACTCCCCAAGCCAGAGTGGAAGCAGAAAGACCCACATCTCTTTGCCAATTGGTAACAGTGGGCTGGCAGCCTGGGAGGACCTTATTACAGGCATGCCACTTGGGCTGCAAATATCACCCCTGTTGCTAACTGCAACCCAAAAGTCACCTCTGTGCAGGAAAGGAGCGGGGCGTGGGGAGAGGGCAGCAAGCAGAACTTCTTGGGCTGTTCTCTGCCTGTCCTAGCTGGAGCTGGTTGCTCTTGGTAGGTAAGGGATGAAGGACAGATTGTCAGAGTTACTGACTGGAGAACCACAGCAATCCTAGAGACCTCTGGCCGTATCAGGGGTACTGGTGCTAGTCCTGATTGACTCTGTTCTGCTTACCCAGCACTAGCTGCATGAGTTTCTCATGGTAAGCTCCAGCTCACATCCCTAGTCAGCGGGCGAACCATGTGTGATCCCTCTTATAAAATTCATGTGGAGACAAATTCTGCCCCGGCTACTCTGAAGGATCCTGTGACAGTGAAGCAGGTAGAGGCCAAAACACAGAGAGGATGGAGAGCAGCAGCAGAAAAGTCTGTATGCTGTCTCATTTACGTGTTCAGTCCCCCACCTGAATGGAGCAGTTGAGGATGCTCAAGCAGCATGAACTGACTACTCCTGGCACTGGACTGCAGCAAGATGCACCGGGGTGATCAGCAGGTAGAAAAAGATGACACGCTTTTTCAGACACCTTGCATGTTCTAGACCCTCTTAAAATGAAGCTGTGGAGCAAGCCAAGACAGTGCACATCTTGGCTCTGGGAGATGTGCTTTGCTGCACTGGGGCTGACCTATAACTCCTTCTTTCTACACGGGGAAACCAAACGGGCTGATGGAAACTGCTGCCTCACCATAGGTACTGTTAAGGCAAGACACGTTCTTGATCCTTCGAGCAGTGAAGAGAAAGGAAAAGAAAAGCAAAACAAAAAAGATACTACCCTAAATTCTTTCTAAATATAACTCATCCCAAGTCAGCATAATTATGCCATGTATTAATTTGTTCCAAATATTTATAAAACATTCCTTAGGCAAAAGTAAGGCAAAGTTTTAACATTTTGTAACGAAGCTGAATGCTGCATAATGTCACATAAGTATGAATGCTACAGTACAGTATACCCCACGTGGGGCACTTAATTAAATTAAATGCATCTAAATAAATTACAACCTGTATTTGCTGTTATAGTTTATCCCATGAGAGTAATTTTAGAAGAAAGGTAAGAAATTATATGGAATTGTATAATTTTTAGCTGCTGTAATACGTCACTGCTCGCCACAAAGAGTTAGCACTTAAAAAGAAGAGCTAAAATAACATACTATTTGCTTGTAACAGACTTAAGAGTATATAAGTAACCATACATAATATGCATGGTTCTGTTTTATGCACCAAAATCTGTGGGTTTTTTTCCGTGATTATTTCATTGAGAAGAGCTGATATTTGACCTAACTTCTGACCAAGACAGCTGGTAAGCCCGCCCTTGGTCAGGAGGCCAGGGCACGGAAGGGGTCCCGACCTGCATTTCTTAACCTGCCCTGTGCAAATGGGAGGCATGCTGGGAGAAAGCCAGAAGGCAAAGCTCTGCCTTAACCCCTTGCTCAGAGCTCTTTCAGGAATTAAACGAAACCCGACTGATACCCAAGGAGGGGGTCGCATGCGTAGCGAGCAACCTTAACTTGTACAGCATAGCTAAAGTGATTCGGAAAGCCTGATGTTGGGGAGCCTGACAGCACAACCTAGCTCTATCCTTTGCCTGCTTTCATCAGCCCTTCATCAATTCCTACAGCTGCAAAAGCCTAACAATAACGTCTCTGCACAGAGGAGAAGCTACGCTTGTTCTTCCAAAAGCCCTGATACTTGCTTAATTTTGTGTCTGGGGATGGGGGGGGATTATTACCTAAATGCTGCACTCTCCCTCCGAAAAGATAACATTTCTGTTTAAGTTGGTAGCCATTCTGCGTGAATAAGGGCAGCAAGATACAGGGTCTGTTTCTCATCTCGCTTATTTAGAAGTGTAAACTCGTGGAATTGTACCAGTAAAACAGGTGTGAGACCGGACTGCGGCCCTTGGCCTTTAAGGAGTTCATAAACCAAATTCTCTTCCTAGCAATAGCTTTTTGAAATCAAGTACCTAAATATACCATTGCTGTGGACTGGTAAGTTAAAACCACTGCTGAAATGAAAAGTAGCCATGTTCTGAACAGAACCAGTTCCAATCTGTTTTGGTTTAAAATTCATAGCTTATGTAATTTATTTTTGATTTGGGATTTGGTTTTTTTTTTTGTGTAAGTTTTTTGGGAGGGAAGGGGTACATGTTCGTGTCTGAAACTCTTAACAGCATTTTTACGATGGTCAAGACATTACGGCTTGCAAACATGAAGACCATGCTAAACATTAAGGTCGTGTCTGCAGAAGTGTTAGGACAGACTCCAAAGCCAGGTTTCCAGATCTACCCATTTGTGGTGCTCGGCAGGGTCACAGCCTAACCGAGTGTGCCGTACGTTAGTCTTTACAGGTACAGGATTATTCTCCGAGGGGATTTTTTTAGCATTGCAGTGTGTTTATGGCATATTTCATTTAGTTAATCTCAGTTTTCACATAGCATTTGTTTCTGATCTCCCTTAGCTTTTCAAAATAAGTATAAGGCTTCTGAAAAACATAAGAATCTACTAATTTCTTTTAGCATATTTTTGTCTTTTCAGTATTGCTGAGCATAACAGACTATTACATATTTTATTATAAAGAAAAACTTGACCATTAATATGTCCTAATAGACAATCGTACTTAATCTTTCAGCTACCAAGACTAAATTAATTTACTGTCAATCATATGCTTTCTGTAATGTCCAACAGAATTGTTCAACAATTAGATCTGTGGGCTATTTTCATTAAAAGTGAAATAATTACTGCAGGACAAAGAAAAAAGTCACATAAAAATACACAGTTTTCATTCACTTTTTTTGTAAATGCAAAAGGACTTCGTATCTATAAACAAATAAATACATAAGGTTAGATATTGCTTTCCTGGCCTGGGCTATCATGCGCCTGTAATTCTGTGGAACCCAGCAGATTTCTGTCAAAGAGCACAGCTCGTCACACGCCTCGGTATCTGCAGAATGACCCCCTGAGTCATTCTGGGTAAGGTAAAATATGTGTAAACATGGCTAAAGCATTCTCCCCCTAAAAGGCTGTCACATACGGAACAGCTAGATTTTTAACAATAATCTGGAAAATTATATGATTGTATACTTACAGATTAGCTTGAAGAAAAAATGTTACAGCATGCTTAAAATTGCTAAATGATATATGTAAGTGTAGTCTAAAATAGAATAATGTAATTTTTACATAATTACAATCAAATATATTTTAGTATTAATTACTTAGCAACAAGTGATAAATGGCCAGTGTAGATGTTGTCTGAATAGAGCTGTATTTTTTACGGTCTCAGACTTAATCATAATTCATTAAGGGGAAGGAATTTGATCTTGTTTTTCCTTGGCTGTATTTTTTTCTTTTGTTATATGAACCTGCCTAAAAATGTATTTAAGAAGCCATTTCAATGCTGTATTTTACTAACGATTGAACAGTTTTTTAAGCTTTCAAAATATTCCATGAATATTTAAATAGTAAATATGATACATTAAAGAACAAGGTTACAAAAATATATAATCTCTGGCAGAGTTTTGCTGAGGTAATTCTTTAGAATTTTTATTTTAAAAGGTTTGTTTTGCAAATGTGAATTTTACTGAAGAAATATTCATGTTGGGGTATCCAAAGCCAGACCCTGGTTCCAATTAAATCAGGGCAAAATTCCTATTGATTTCAAAAGAAATGGCCCTATCCATCCAGGTAACCGAGTATTAGGGAAGTGCCATGAGATTAGAGAACCCAGAACTTAAGATACTGGACATATGAGTACTGCTCTTGAGTTTGGTAGATTAATCGATTGCGTTTTAATTGTTAAGTGTTTTGGCACAGCCTTTTGCAAGGAGAATGCTCTATTTATCTATGCATTTTTGCTTTCACTCACCCATGGAATACACTCCAGATAACTCTGAGATCCTCAGGATGAATAGTTACTAACACTACTTTCTACTGCACCTCCTTTCCCCTCATTGTCCACCCACCGTGAAAAGAAACGGCTGGCTGGACAAACTTCTACCCTCATCCAAATTTCACATTTAATTCCATTTTAGCAAACCGGCTGGGAAGTAGAAATGCAGTTTGCAAATCATTTCTACACGAAAAGCAAGCAGGCAAAGAAAACTGAGACATACTCTCGAATAGTCAAGCTCCCTGGGCGTGGAGTCGGTTAAAGCTCGTACGAGGGCGTTCATCATGCTGATGGGAGGAGAAGGCGGGGAGGGCTGAGAGGGTTCTTGCTGTAAGGGGCTCTTTGGTTTGGAAGGCAACCGACCTCTTCTCCCTTTCAGGCTGTCGGTACGGACAACTGGATGAAAAAAACAAAAGGGAATCAGTTGTGAAGATACCAGCAAACGACGGATCAGAATGAACACCTGCTTTTCTTATGGTGGCCAGCCCGGCAAAAGTAAGAGTATTCTCCAGTTTCAGCACATGCTCTCAATGCCTTTGATGGCAAAGGAACACAAACGATACCAAAATTGCGTCAGACCTACGATCGTCAGCAGCAATGTAGCTGCTTGCTTAAAGCCCAGCTGTGTTCCCAGTGTTCACGCTTTCTTTGCAGCACACCTACACGTCCGTGGATGTGTGCTCATGCACACACACAGACACAACACAAATTCTAATATTCTTGCTGCTGGTGCACCTTTTGAATGGCAGAGTCATTCATTCAAAGTAATTTTTGCTTTCTTGAAGCATTTGAAAAAATATGGCCATGGCATATAGGTTAGATTATCCATGTTAGTATTCACAATGGGACTGCTCACACAGTATTACTCACATACTTAAACATTTGCAGAATTGGGACTAATGAGTTGATCCTGTTTCAATTTAAATTAATTGCAAATTTACAATCAGCTTATGGGAATGAGACAAGATCCTATGTCAAAATGCACACAATCCAGTGCAGCCCCCAGTGTGATAACAGGGGGAAGCCGACAGCATTATCGAGCAACGTTCAAAGTTAATAAAGGAGACATTTTGGCCAGTGTCAAATTATCCTCTTGTGACCTTGCTATTCTTGAACTCTGGGGTCTAAAGTCTAAATATGATAATATGAGCGAAAAGAAGAAAATCAATACATTATTACACAAGTGCACATATTTTGGGGTAAGTTACGAATCTCATCACTGTGAAATTCATTGTAAAGGCATCTATGTCCACACACACACAGATTCATTAAATGCAATATTTCACTGTCTGGGATAATAATAGAAAAAGTCCTTACCTTCTTTAACCATGCCGACACTGAGACACTTCTGAAACCGGCAGTACTGGCATCTGTTACGACGTCTCTTGTCCACTGGACAGTTTTTATTTGCCAGACACACATATTTTGCATTTTTCTGAACTGTTCTCTGCAAAAACACAACACGAAAATAGTAAACTGATCATTTCTTGAACAACTTAGAACCTGACAAAACGTGTTTTAATTACAACATGAAAAGCGACAGTGCAATTCATATAATTAGATAAAATTAATTTCCTAACACACTAGCCTGCAGGAAAAACAATTTTATTAGTGTTAGCTGCTGACAATGAAAATCATCTAGGATTGTTCTGAAGCAAGTCTCTGGAGACAGGCAACTTTGAATGATAAAATCATATCTGAAATTACCAGGTCATCGCATCTACCTTTGGGGATTAGATTATCTCCGCTTTTAATATCCCTTTGGGAACAATTTTCTACTTGGTTCATTCCCTTGATTATTGCTGACCTTATTAAAATAAAATCAAAATGATCTGCCATGTACTTCTCTTGCTATCGCTATTGTTAGTCAAATACCACAATAACTGGTTTGGTTAGCCATTAAAATCATCAGGGAGAAAAATAAAAACACCAGAAAAATAAAACCAAAATATGTTTAGTTAAATATTCTGGAAAAGCTAACCTGACCTGGGAAAAAAACAGACAGAATTATACTGTAGTTATATACATTTAACTAACTGTAAAATGATCTTAAAGCTATACAGTAAATTTAAAATTTGTAAAAACCTGGGAATCCTTGGCAGAACGTAGCAAATATTGATGCAAAAATGTATTATGTGCTCCCATAATTAAAATCAAAGATACATCAATAAATAGCACAAAAAAAAAGAGACACTAACAGGAAAGACATCAGAACAGGAACAAATTCATCAGCTCAACATTCAGTATTAAACCTTGCACTGCGATTAAATGAATGGAAAAAAGTTATTTCACAAATTGTGCTCCTTTTCAAATAGCAGCCTCAAGGTACTAAATAGAAGAGACACAGCAAATATTGTTCATGGTGCTTTAGAGCTGAAAACTGTTTAATTTTGCAGAATAAGCTCTAGATACTGCTCCCAGACAAGGATATGCTATGGATTTCCACAGGGGCAGGATCGGGCCCAGAAGAGCTGCTATTTCCAGGCTGTTTGTGTTTCCTTTGCTAATTATATTTAAGTGACAAATGAGTTTTACAGGAGATGTGTATTTTACCACGTTGTCACAGGATTATTATTTAGTAACATTAGCAGCTCTGTGTACAATAAAAAAAAATGTTGTAAGCCCTCCCCCCCCCAACTATTTTTGGACTGTTTTTCTTCCCATCGTATCTTTTACCAGCACAGGGGTGCGACTGCTGGCTCTGCAGGAGGGAATATACTGAATCAACCCCAAATGTATCGAACCTTCAACCTGCTGACCAGAGCCCTCCCACCAGAAGTCTATCCCAAATTCTTCACTTACATGAGCTAATTCTGAAAACAATACCGGAATCTGAGCTAGATCTGCTGAAAGGAAATTACGAGGCGCCCGAATCTAAGGGCAAAAAGAGACTGTTTGAATCCTAGAAACGTCAGCAGTCAGCTTCCGCTGAGAACCGGCTGCGTAAGAGTTATTCGTGTTGCTCTTCAGCCTCAAAGCCTCCTCGGTCGCAGAGCCGGCGCTGGGCCCCTCTCTGCAAGCAGCCTTCCAGCAGCGGGGACTCGCCGGGCTCCTGAGCTCAGGAGTAACGAGGGGGCACCACCCAAACCAAACCAAACCAAACCAAACCAAACCAAACCAAACCAAACCAAACCAAACCAAACCAAACCAAACCAAGCCAAGCGCTGGGGTCTGCCCCACACGTGAGAGCAGTTTCCTCCCGGCGCCGGCCCCGCGGCTCTCCTCACCCCAGCCACGCCAGGGCAACAAACGGCCTCCCACTGCCACCAGCTAAGACGTCAAGCAGACTTCACGATTTCGGGATTCCTTTCCTCACCTGACGGCCAGGTTTAATTGGAACGAGCGACCGAGTAAAACCCAGGTTGGATGTATTCCAGGTGGGTTTCGCTAGGGAAGAACGGCAGTTTATACCTCGGGGAGGGGTGACCCGTGCTCCGCTGAGGGACGCTGGCAGACTGGGGCTGCGGTTTGCCCAGCTGGCTGCCATGACACCTCCTCAGCCGAGGCTGGGCGGTCCCTCCCCCCCACCGAGGGG